AGTCTCACCAAGTAACCCAGGCTGATCTTAAACTGTTTCTTTTTATAATTATTTTATGTGTATTCAGGGGTTTTTGTTTTTTGCTGCATGCGTACCCTCAGAGGTTAGAGGAGGGCATTGGATCCCATGGTACTAGAGTTATAGATGGTTGTGAGAAACCAGGTGGATGCTGGGAATAAAACCCAAGTCCTCTACAAGAGGTTTGTCTGTGAAATAGTCCTGACTGTCCAGAACTCACTCTGTAGACCAGGCTGACACTGAGCTCACAGGGATCCGCCTGCCACTGGGGATTAAAAGCATGCGCCATCACTGCCCCAAGCAGCAAGTGCTTTTAACTGCTAAACCATTTCTCAGGTCCTTGGCCTGGAACTCTTAATTCTCTAGTCTCAATGTGCCTGTTGATAGGATTATAGGCATGCACCATCACAGCCAGGTAATGATTTTTGTTTGTTTGTTTTTAGCTGCTAGGGACTTATCAGAGAGCTTCATGAATGCTAAACAAACACTTCCACACTAGACACACTTCCAGTAGATTCTAACAGGGACTATACTTCTGTGTCCCCTGAGTAGATACAAGATGTGAGTCTCCAAGCTACCTTCAACTAGGGGAGGCCCTGCCTATAGACATGCTACACAGCTGCATGGGGCTTGGGGGAATAACATCTGCCAGCAACAGGGATCACAGAGAGAGAGACCAAAGCCCTTACAGCCTCCTGTGAAACAGGTTCATACCAGAGATCAGAGGCCCTGTTCCAACCCAGCCCCCATCTTAGCTACGAGACAGGCAATCTATGAGCTCCCACCCCCTCCATAGGCCTGGAATCCTCTGGAAAACAAAAGAGTATGGCTATAGACACTGCTAATACATGGCACTTCCAAGTCTAAAATTCCAGAATCTAAATGATTCAGATGAAGACAACATCTTCCTATTTACAGCAGCTGTCAGACCCTCACCCCTGACCCTTAGTCAATGACTTCTCACCAGGCTTATGTTTAGTTCAAAGATGGCTGCATTTAACACCAGTGAAGTTTTTTGTTTGTTTGGTTTTGGGGGGTTGTCTTTTGTTGTTGTCTTTACTTAAAGTTAACCCACAAAAGGGCTATGGAATGTCTCATCCAGTAAAAGTACTTTGCCACTAAGCCTGGTGACCTGAGCTCTATCCCTGGGACCCACTTGGGATAAGGAGATCTCCACAAGGCAAGCACACACATACACAAATAAATGTATTTTTGTTTGATCATGGAGGGCTAGGGAGGGAGTTCTGTCAGCAATGTGAAATCCCCCCCCCCCGGGGGGGGGGGGGGGGGGGGGGGGCGGGGAAAGCTCAGTGACTCGCTTGTAATCCCAGCACTGGGGAGGCAGAAACAGGCAGATCCCTGGGGCTCACTAGCCAGCCAGCCTAGCTGACTTGGCAAGCAGTTCTAGGCCAGTGAGAGGCCTAGAAAGAAGAGAGAGAGAGAGAGAGAGAGAGAGAGAGAGAGAGAGAGAGAGAGAGAGAGAGAAAGAGAGAGAGAGGTTGTCTTCTGGCTTCAACATGTATACCAGCACATACACAATCACAATTAACCCATGGAATTTTACTTCTTAAATTCCTTATTCTGAACCTTCCGCCCCCTCTCGTGTGTGTGTGTGTGTGTGTGTGTGTGTGTGTGTGTGTGTAAAACACTGGGGACAAGTCCAGAGTTTCAGTCTTGCTAGGCCAGCTTTCTTCCACTGAAATACACACAAACACACCATTAACCCTGCTCTAGACTGGAGCTCTTTGGCTTTGTTTTCTCAGTCTCTCGGAGCTGTTCTCTTTCCTGGAACTGGGGAACATTTTATGTGTTAAAATAAGACTGGACAGAGAGTAGAAGTCAACACTATCCGTAACATTTCAAAGGCCCCTGGTTTTTTATTTCGATGATAGTGCTGACTTTATGTTTTCAAGAAACGATTTTCCTTTTCCTGGATTAAACACTGCAAAGAGCCGGGTAAGGAAAAACAAACAATGACATTACCAGAACGTTCCTCCTCAATCTGCTATTAACTAGTGGTTGAGCCTGGAACAGCAGCATTTGGGGGGTGGGGTAGGGCAAGGACAGGGTTTCACCGCTGACTTCAAACCTATTATATAGCTGAGGATGACTCTGAACTCTCCAAAAACTCTTTAGCCTCTTGCCTCCATCTCCCAAGTGATGGCACCAGGTATAGGCACCAGGGGTTACCTATCCCTGGTAACCCCTAACTCTCCATCAGCACCAGAGGTCAAGTGGGGACAGGGGTTAAGGAAAGGGGACAAAGACAAGACTGACTCTCCAAAACCCAGGCATTTGCTTCCTTGGCAAAACCCCAGCAAGTGCTACTAATTAACAGCTGAAGTTAATCAGGGACAAGCAGCAGAAAGTCCACACAGGTTGCATCAACTCCAAAGGAGCCAGAAGTTGAAGCAAAAGTTCAGCTACCAGAAAGCACTTAATTTGCAGTAACCATCTTCTGCAGCCAGACACTCAAGTTCCTTGGCAGAGCTGAGTATTAAGGTCAGCAGGGCACCACCATGGATGGTGGAGACTGTAGGGTGCTCCACCACTTCAGACTCAAGTGCCAGACATCTGGCCAGCCAAGTCTACTTTCCTTACCCATCAGCGGATTGGGCTAATCTGAATTCTTCCTGTTTGAGACTTCCTATCTAAACTGCCCCCATTTGCTTCTCTAACAAAATAGAGAAAAATTCCAAAACATGACCTCAGGCAGGGGATGTGGCCTGCCTACCACGATCAAGGTCATGTTCAATCCCCAGTACCACAAAGAGAATAAAACAAAAATAAAAGTTAAAAATCAAATCATGACCTTATAGAAACAGAATCATATTTACTTTAGTATAAATGAGTTACACGTTAAATAATTTATAATTAGCCTACAGGTAGAGTCTAGCTTAATTGGCCAATTAAGAAAGGGCATCCTAAACAGGTGTGGCAGTGCACGCCTTTAATCCAGCACTTAAGAGGCTGAGTCAGGTGGACCTCTGAGTCTTGAGGCCAGCAGAATCTACAAAGAAAGGAAAGGAGGGAGGGAGGAAGGACGGACCATCCACCTATGCCACTCAGTCGTAGTTACTTCACTGAATACTAACATTAAACAAACAAATGTGGGGGGAAATGCCCAGCTTAGGAAAACACCAAACAAGAAAAAGAGATGTTAGCAAGAAAGAAAGGCTAGGTGGGGGTGACATCCACCTTTAATTGCACATCTCTGGAAGTTTGAGGCCAGTCTGGTCTAGATAGTGAGTTCCAGGACAGCTAGGACTACATAGAGAGACAGGGTCTTAATATATAAAGGAAGATTCTAGAACAGGTTCTTTTCTTGATTATCTGACAGTTTTTGCGTGTTTCTCTAAGTCTCATCATTGCCCAAGGAGACAGAAGACAGCCTGTCCAAGCAGCACCAGCAAGTGTGTGTGTGCAAGACAGCCTCTCCACACAGCACCAGGGAGGGAGTGGGAGTGAGTGTGAGTGTGAGTGTGTGTGTGTGTGTGTGTGTGTGTGTGTGTTCAATCCTATCCATTTGGCCTTTCTTCATTCTCCACAAAGCTGTATTCAGCTTCTCCATTAAAAAGGTTAAGAGGCACCCAACCACCAGGCTTCCACTGTTTAAGACCAAGCTCAAACTGCTGCCACCCCTGAAATGCGTGCAAACTCCAAAGCTTGTTGATAAAGCTGTGTGGGTGGGGGATGGGAGCATGTCTGAGCTCTCCCTTAATCTTCGGCAGCCAGTGTGGTTTTGTAAACTTCAGGCTACTTTGATCTTGTCTTGGATTGTCCTAGGGTCTCACCTTAACACTGGCGCCAGATGCCAAAGGAAGATTGCTCCCCCCGCCCTCCGGGAGCCAGCCATAGCCAGAGTAACACAAAAGCACAGGGCCTCTTTCACAAAGTAGTGAGTGGATCACATGTCTGATAGATTAAATGCACCGGTTTTAAATACAAATACGTGTGAATTGCTGATTTCATTTGTTGCCACACCAAACCACTCGAGTCTGTTTCAAATTGCCTTGATGGCTTCATGTTCTCGCTGTGGGTCCCTGGACGGATGCAAAACACTTGTGAAATATCCAAAAAGGTGGAGAGGAGAAAGGGGAACGAAAGGGAAGCCCGGGCAAGAGTGACCCTTACTGAGTCACCGTTTCCTGAATGGCGGAGCTCGCTGTAGGGGGGAGGGTGGAAATCGAAAGAATGCAAACTGACCTGCGCGTGCAGGCCGAGCCCTTAAGCTGGGAGCCCCCCACCCTGCAGCCCCGACACCCAGAGCCTGGCCCGGCGTGCTGGAGCGCCCTCCGGTGGCCATGCCGCAGGCCCCCACCATTGGGGCTCTTCCTCAGACCACGCTCCCCGCCGTGGAAGGAACGAGACACGCAGAAAGTTTCCGAGCCAGGCGGTCAGCAAAGGACAAGCCAGGTCCCGGAGGGAGCCTGGATGCTCCGGCTGGGCAGGAGCCAGCGCCCAGACCGGAGGCGACAAGAATCCGGGGGTCTAGACGGACCCCTCCAGGCCTCCGACGTGCCCCCGGTCGGGACTCTGGTCTTCAGATCCCACCCTCGCGGAATTTATCCCTGCAAGCCCACCTTGTAAAAGGGACATGGGGACTGTGGACACCACCACGGCGGAGTACCCTTGACACCTCGGCTGCAAAGCATGCTTGGGCTCTTGTTGGACTCTCTCTGTGCATTTGCTTAATTGGAGGGAGGGGGCGCAGCAGCTCCCTGCGACGCATTGTGGTCCCCAGTAATCTGCTTCTAGATGTCCCTGAAGAGCCCACCTGGACTGCCCCGCCCCACCCCCACGCCACCTTTCTCCCGCCCGGGTGATGAGTGGGAACGGCGAATACCCTGCCTCCTCCCCTCCAGCCTCCAGGTTTGGGCGCCAGGGTAGCACCCGGGTTTCCCAGCCGCACGCTGGGGACACGCCGGCCGAGTGGTGGCGGCTGGAGACCAGGGGCGGGCGAGGCCCGGCGCGGGGGCTGCGTCGTCCACGGTGAGCGGCATGCAGATTCGGTACTCCTTCAACAGCATGGTCCTGCCGGCCGCGGACCGCGGGAAAGAAGGGGGCGTCCCAACAGATGAGCAAGGTTGGCTCTCGGCGGAAGGCAAGGGCACTGGGAGCCGGCGAGCGAAGCAGCCCCGGCGGTGCGCTCAGCTCCTGGCTGCCTCCGGTCCGCCCCGGAGCATGTCAAGCTTCGAGTCCCGGTGTCTGTGACTCCCCCGCCTCCTTCCTCGCGGAGATAAGCCCTCCCGGTATTGCAAAGTCAGGGACTGAGGGAGGGAGACCCGCAGGAGATAGCTCGGATCAGCAGCCCGGGGCTGGTAGGCGCGGCCACCAGATCAGGACATGCCCCGCAGCGGGCAAAAGAGGCAAGAGGGAGGGAAAAAAGATTTCTACAAATTCAAACAAATGCACAAAAGTCACCCTCTAGATCCTCGTCCGAAAGCAGAGCTGAACCTTGCGAGCCTCTTTTCCTCCGACCCGTCTACCCTGGGCTAATGTCACCAGGAACACATTGCCGCCGAAGCCGGCGATGCTGACTTTCCAAACAAAGGCTTGCTGGTCTCCTCTCCCCGGGCGGTAAACAAGATTTCCTGCTCTTTTTTAGAGCCAGTCCCTAGTCTCTCCAGAGCTCAGCTGGGAGAGAAAAGGGAAGCCGCGGCCGCCAGGGCTCTCCTCTGCTCTGGGCCCCGGGTGTCTCCAACCTCGCAGGGTGGCTGCCAGCGCCTTGCGCGCGTCCCCTCCCCCGAGTCCCTCGGCTCTGAGAGCGCTGTGCGTGCCCGTGAGTTTGCAGCTACCTCGCCGCGTCTGGAGAGACCGCGCCGAGCTGCAGTGTGCCTGGGGCCGGGAGGTGGGTGCGGGAGGAGCGAGCGCGACCAGGCTGACATCAGCAGCGGCCGCGGCGGGGAGGGTAGCCCCATCCGGCCAATGGGGAAATGGCAAAGAATGTGGAGGATTTAAACAAAACAGCATGTCTCTCCCCGTCTGCTGCCAGACGCCAGGGCTGTCCCGGAACCCAGAGCAGCGAGTGCTGGGGAGGATCGCAAAGAGGGGCTATCCTGAACTGTTCAAACATTGAGTTCTATTTTCAAATGTACCCTGGGTGCCACGGGGTTCTCTGCTTAGTCGCTCTGGAAACGCTCTGTTTCCAAAGTGCACAAGTGTCCCCTGACTTTGGGAACGGGGGTCTTTACAAATGCCCACTGCGAACATTTTTCTCTCTGAAAGGGTAAGCAAAGCCTGAGCAAGAGAAGTGATGGTTTTGAGAATGTGTTTTTTTGAGCATGCTCTCGAGACGGAATCCTGCAGCAGTGTGGGTGAAAAAGTACAAACACAGACAGAGAGAGACACAGAGAGAGACCCTGTCATCGCCTGTTACCTCCTGGCTCTGCAATCCTACTGCAGGCTTCCCAGAGCAGAAAGAATAGGTTTTCGTGTCAGCACTCTTAAGTTCAAAAAGTCACAGTGAAATGTCAATAAAAATGCCTGGGGTGTTGGTATTTCATCCATATTAAACAGATCTCTCATTTTAACTCCAAGAAGCACATTCTTCAGTTACTCAGGAAGCAGCATGTAACTGCTGAAGTCTGGTTTTCATTTGTCTGGTATTCATTTTTTTTTAGCTTGTTTTTCCAGAAATGAAAAAAAAAACCGCATCCACTGTGTATAGGAGAATAATCTGTAAGCATCACTGGCTCTCAAATACATACACATAGATATGTATATATGTGTGTGTGCTTGTGAGCTCTGGTGACCCCACATCTCAAGGAGCTTACACTGGGCAATGCCTTGGTGGCACATTCCTTTAATCCCAGCACTCGGGAGGCAGAGGCAGGCGGATCTCTGTGAGTTCGAGGCCAGCCTGATCTCCAGAGCGAGTGCCAGGATAGGCTCCAAAGCTACACAGTGAACACCTGTCTCAAAAAACCAAAAAAAAAAAAAAAAATTATGCAGGCCTCAATAATATAGTATTTTTACATAGTAATCCGACTGAGTTTAGAGTTCAGGGAATGTGATCTAGCCTACTAGGAAATGACACCTTAAATCTAGTTTATATTTTGGTTAAAAAGAAAAAAAACAAAACAACAAGCCTGGTTGGTGGTGGTACATGCCTTTAATCCCAGCACTCCAAAGGCAAGGGCTGGTGAATATCTGTGAGTTTGAAGCCAGCCTGGTTTACAGAGTTCCAGGACAGGCTCCAAAGCAGGACAGGGTTTTGAAACAAAACCTTGAAACAAAACAAAACAAAACAAAAAACCCACTTAAATAAAATAAGATAAAAAGTAAATAAATAAACCTGTTTTCTAGATAAATACTTCCCAAAGTCTGTTCAGAAACATTTATATCAGCTAATTAAAGCTAAACCAAATTCCTTGAGGTAGAGAATTTGTTTTTGTTTTTTAGAACGCAGTTTCTCCATGTAACAGTCCTGGCTGTCCTGGAACTCACCCTATAGAGCAGGCTGGCTTCAAAACACAGATATTCTCCTGCCTCTGCCTCCCAAGTGCTGAAATTAAAGGCTTGGGCCACAACCACCCTTTGAGGAAGAGAATCAGAGAATTTAAACGTGACACTGTAGTGTTGAATAATAACACAATGGAAGCCAGTGAAACAACAAAGCTGTTTTTCTTTCTCTTTTTTCTTTCTCTTTTTCCTTAGTGGCACTTAATCACCTTTGTAGTTCAAATCCTACAGGGATCCTCCCATGCATTTTCAAATATCTCTAGACTACTTATGCTATTTCATGCAATGTAAATGCTATATATATAAATAGTTGTTATTGCCAGTTGTTGGTGGCGCACCCGTTTAATCCCAGCACTTGGGAGGCATAAGCAGGCGGATATCTGAGAGTTCGAGGCCAGCCTCCTCTCCAGAGCAAGTGCCAGGATAGGCTCCAAAGCTACACAGAGAAACCCTGTCTCGAAAAACCAAAAAAAAAAAAAAAAAAAAAGTTGTTATACTGCATTGTTCAGAGAATAGTGACAGGGAAGCATCTGCATGTGTTCAGTACAGTAGTGTATCTGCGTGTTTCTGATCTGGGGGGGGGGGCACTAGGAACCCAGTCGCTGTTGGCTAGCTGTTCTCTCCCACCTCCTGCTGCAAGATGGCTTCCCCCAGTGGATTCTCTTTTCCTTCTCCATCAGCTTTTTTATTGCTTGGTCACACTAATAGTGCGCAGGCACAGCTCTAATGCTAGCACCTTGAAAGCCTGTTGGTGATGGCAGGAGGGACCAGGCTCTGAGGCTGTCTCTCCCATGTCAGCCCTCTAGTATTTCCTAACCCTGATGGCTGCAGAAGACCTCCACTTTTCTGCTTTGATCCTTCTCATCCCATTGCCTTCTCAGAGGACCCTTCATGCCATCCCAGGCCCCGTGGCATTGTTTTAAAGGCAAACATTGACGATCTGAGTGCCATGGCAAGTGGTGCTGACGGCAATATGCTGAATTGGTTAGGACAGGTTACCAGAGGTGACTGTATTAACATAATACTACAGGAAACATATGGGAACATATGGACTAGACAGAGAATGAAGAAGAGAGGAGGAATATAAACAATCTGGGCAAGAATTAGAGTTGGCTAGTATTCATTACTATGGTTCTTGCTCTGGGGTTAGGAAGAGTTCATTCATAACTCTTTTAGTCTAAGGGAGGAGAGTGCCATCTACTGGTCAAGAGTGAATGCTTGCAAATCTTTCAAGTCCTGCCTTCACCAGCACATGCATGGCAAGAACTGTACCTTTTCTGGTTTTGTTTTTCGAAACAGGGATTCTCTGTAGCCCTGGCTGTCTTGGAATTCATTTTGTAGACCAGAATGACCTCGAACGCAGAGATCCGCCTGCCTCTGTCTCCCCAGTGCTAGGATTGAAGGTGTTCACCACGATGCTTGGCCATACCTTTGTTTCTCTTAAGCCAATGAAGGGTGATGCCATTGTGGTAATGGTTGGTAAGAAGGTCCCATTAGTGTTGTGAAATCTGTAGCTAGTGGTCATCACATAGAAATGATGTGGGGCAGTAAAGATATCACGTGTTGACTTGAGATAGTTGACACTTCATTGTGTGTGTGTGTGGGGGGTTACTTCAAGGTATTTAACAGCATTCTTGGTTTCACTTAATTAAAAGTGCCAACCCTCCCCCATCCAGCATTTGGCTGTGTTGGAGTGGGGGTTAGGGAATCAGGCTAAGATTCATCAATCATATGCCAATATCTAGCTGCTCCAAACTTGATTGAGACTGACTTTCAGCTTGTCCAAATGGAACTGGAGAGGGGGAGCTGGGGCTGGGGCTGGGGTGCAGTTCAATGGGAGAACACTCATGTTCAAAGCCCTGGGTTCTTCCAGGTCTTTGTGAAAGAACTGAAGGAAGATGATGATTTAAAAAAAAAATAGGCCTTATGGGCTGGAGAGATGGCTCCGTGTTTAAAAGCACTTGCTGCTGTTCTAGAGGACACCAGTTCATGTTGGGAGCTGTGTGGCCTGGTCTCAGATCAGTTTATAAATGCCTGTCCAGTGGATCTCCTCGAGGCAAGACTGGTGGGGATGGTCTCTCACTTGGCAAGAACCAGTGGACCTCAGGGCAGGATTTTGCTGAATTCATGCAGCTTGCAGGCTCTTTTCTCTCTTGTTTTATTGTTGATTCCTTTGGCAGTTTTCAATGTCATTTTGTCAATCACCACATGCAACAGTTGTAATTTCCCCTGGAAATTCTGTTCTTTCTTGAATATTTTCCCCTTAGAATCATCAGGGGGCTAATGCTTCCCAAATCTCTTATGTGGAATTACTTACTACCACTCCTAATCCTGGGAGCTTTTCTGACTCATATGAGGAAACAACACTTGGAACATGAACCATGTCTCATAGTTCTGGGAAGGAGAGTAAGGCATGCATACACAGAATAGGGGGAAAGCCTCAAGAACACATAGAGTGCCAACTGTCGAGAGTAAGTCCCTGGACACCAAGCATAGATTCAATGAGGATCTGGTATGGTCCAGGAGGAAAAAATACAATACAAAATGTGGGATGGACAGATCCATCTTCACCATACACAGGAGCTTATAATGGCGGGGAAAGTGTGGTATAGGGGGCTGGGAAAAGAGTGTCTTATCAAAGTCTGCCTTTACAGAGAGACTGAGACATGGGACCCTGTTGTAGAAAAGGGAACTGTATAAAAGCATATCTTGCAGACATGAAAAAGTTGGATTTGAACACAGTTGTCCTTAAATCATTATACCCATGCCTATTACTTTTTAGACTTTGAAACCGCAAGTAGCTGCCAGCTGACAGTGCTGCAAGAGCAGTGCGTGTCTGGCTCGATGTTTAGTTAAGCCTGCAAAAATGAACTCTATGTCTAAAATAAGGTTATTTAGGGTGTGGGAAAGTGTATTTGGGGAAGTACAAAGGGGAACAATGGGGGCTTTTTATAATGATTACTTAAAAGTAAAAAATAGGAGCCAATAATAAAGCTATTCATGTAAGCTTTGTAGAAAAAAAACAACTCTGTTTAAGTATAAATAAAGACAGCTCGAGCTATTCAGGGCCAGAATTTTTCCTTGTGCCAATGCCCCTTCCCGGTCTCAGGATCTGAACCTGAGCTGAAGCTGCACCCTAGCAAGTTCAGTTCTTAGCCCCCACATCAGGCAGCTCTCAACTTCCTGTATCTCCAGTTGCAGGGCATCTAACATCCTCCTCTGACCTCTGAGGGCACACAAATACTCATGGAAAAGACACATATATGCACACCCATAATAATAATTTTTAAAAAAATCTTCCTGGGAGTAATGATGAATACCTTTAATCCCAGCATTTGGGAGACAGAAGCAGGTGGATCACAATGTTAGTTTGAGGCGTAGTCTACATAATAGCAAGGTCCAG